AAAACTACAAATAGAAAAATAATAGTGTGTGTGTGTGTGTGTGTGTGTGTGTGTAAGAGGGGCATAAAACAACTAGATCATTTTAAGTTATGCACATAGTCATATCCACCCATCCCACACATACACACAAAAGATGCTGTTTATCAACAGGAACAACAGATGTTTTATAAGCATTCTAAAATCTTAAATGTTGAATAACTTTACACTGTAAGGTACTACATGTAGATTTTATGAACAAAAAAAAAGATCAATACAATCCTAAATCTTTATACTAAAGTATTTTGTAATTAAGAGGTCATACATGAATATCTTATCAAACACCCATTCACAAAAAATTACTGTTCTAACAACATTTATTCTTGAAAGACTTATGTTTTATTCATAACCTTATCCAGCTAAATCATTGTATTTGATTACCTACTTATCACAGTTAAATATTATTCATTAAAAGCATTACCTCCTTCCTCTGGTAATTTGTTTTATTTCACACACTTATATTTTTATTAGATGGATTACAAATATACATTTTCTAACAGGAAGTTTGCCCATTTTCATTCTTACACTTTTGGTAAGATTGAAATCTCACCGAGATATATATTATCAAGTATATTACCTGGTTCTTATCAGGTGGATAGATAATGAAGTGTCTCAGAGTGAAACCAAAGTCAGTATCGTCTCTGTGGAGCACTAATCTCCGAGGCCCTGGCCACCACGGTTTCACCTCAGTCAAAGCATCTTGTTGCCCAGAACCCAGAGCCTAGAAACATGTGGGAAAAAAGGACATAAAATTTGTTAAAATATCCATCATATTATCTTCATGGTCATTTACTTGCAAAAAGTCATCATTGTAAATCTAAAGCTATAAATAACATTTCCCAAAACAAAATTTCCAAACTGATTGCTTCAACTTTCTAAAAGAAGAAAACAACAAAGACTGACTGAGCAGTCACTGCCCAAAAATATCCATTTGTAAGTGCACTTTAATTAAACTTGTAAGAATTAGATTGTGTGTGTGTGTGTGTCTATATATATATATTTAACATAACTCATAGAGTTTTCAAAACGAAATTTGCAAAATAGTTTTAAATAAGCAAACTATGATTCTTAATAATCATTAAAATACAGGGTTTTTATATTTAATGCTGTAACATAAAAAAAATTGTCTGTATTTAAATACCGACAAGCCTCCTCTCACCTCCTCCAAGACACTGAGTAGATTTCATCATATTTCCTATAACTTTCTTCTTCCATAAGAATGCTTTCTTGTTTCAACCATGTATCTTACATACATACACACATACATTCATATAGATATATATAAACACTTCAGAAACAATTATTTTTTTTTTTTACTTGAGACATTTCTTTCCAAACAAAAAGAAAAAAGAAACATTATGGGTAACATTTCAGTGTTGGAAAACAATGAAATGCAGTATTTATTCAGAACAAAGAGAGATTTACTATAAATGAAATCTTGTGAACGAGCTGGCATAATGTTCAACTGCAGGAAATATTTGTTCCACATATTTTGCCTAGCTTTTTTTTTTTAAAGCATTACTTTAAACTTATCTCCAACACCTTGTGTTCACCAAAAAGCTTGACACCCTGCCAAGCATTTTAAGCATCTCATTAATGGTACAAAAGGCACATATGCATGCACCCAAACAAGCATGTGGGCTTCATGCCTAATAGCATGGGACAAACTTCTTGTACCTGTACCTATTTATTTTCTCAGAATATTTCTATAATTTCTTCTTTTAAAAACATGTTGTCTCAAATACAAAAACAAGTAGCAATATGTATGAAACACCCTTTATTTCTCTCAAAAATTTTATTTTGCTATCTCATGTTGAATGAAAAGATGTTTTTTTTTGTACATACATTTGGAACACAAATTTTAAAAAAAACACCAAATACTATAGTAGATTTTAAAGCAAGAGGACACATTTTACATATCTATATATCAGACAGACAAAATTAGTAGCAACACATAAAACATGGAGAAAGTGTTAAATTCTGGCTTTTTAGTAAAGTCATGTAAAGTTCTACCAGAACTTTATACAGTCAGCAATTCAATCTACCTACCCTAATGCAAGTCATAAATATACTATAAAGTAATAAGCCAAACTTTAATGAAATTCAAGATTACAAGAAAATAGAATATAACTTAAGATATATAAAATGGGAAACAGTATACAAAATATGTATTTATTAAACACTACACAAAAAATAAAACTTTGTTTAGAAATAAAATCACTGTTTTAGTTTTTATATTCCTGATAAGTGACAGCTTTGGATTGGATAAACTCTTATTACAGCTTAGATTACTGGCAACAGTTTGAGATCATGATCACATCAAGGGTAAATTATTATACAGGGTTTATGTATAACTTCTCTTCAGTAAAAAATATACCATATTTTGTAGAGCCATTTAACTGACAAAGCATCTCCAGTTTCCTAGATTCAATTGTGACAAGTTCTGTAGATAAAATCATATTTTTTTCATTATTTGTAGTGAATTACTTATATAAAAGGTTATTACAAAAAATATTATAGCTTTGTACCTTTCTTTGTATAAGTTCCTAAAACTATTCTGCAACCTTTTTTGTTATTTCTTGGCATATATTTAAGATATTCCTCAGTTAAAACATTCTAGACTAGTACACCTCATTTGAAAACCAGCAACATTTTTTTTTTTATATTATGGAAAAAAACGTAAAATACCTAAACAACATTTCACAAGTAAACAGTTTTAGGTACCTCCTCACTTACACGGTTCAAAAAACTATGTAGGTTTTAAATGAGAAGCAATTTCATGAATAAAGAGACAGATATATATATATATATATATTTCAGCAATGAAACCCTAAGCCAAGGATTCAATTCTAGAAATTTCATAAACACTCAGCATGTACAGTTATTTGCTAAATTTGAGCATCTCCTGCTACAGACAAAAATTTTGAAAATTAACTTTAACAAACACATAACATACAGCAACCAGAAACTAGCATGTTAAGGACATTCAGATACAAACATTCTATTGTGTGAAAAAAAAATCCAAGTTTGACATTTCAGGCCTAAATTTATTCCATGAAAAAGTAAGAGAAATATTTTCCAACATTAATATTGTTTTACATTATGCTCGTAAACAATCAAAAATAAAATCAGAGCTGTTAGTATTACTAGTTTCTCATAATCTAACACATGCTCAGATACCTTTCAAATTAACATTCAAATCTTTTATCAAACAAATACCACATTAAAGTTTCATTTTACTTTCTGACCACTAGCAATGAGAAGAATTTCACATGTAGTTCTGAATGGAAGTGACTGTAATATGTCAAACTATCTCACACATGCAGTGACAGACTTCCTTGCAACTTAATACAAATGCAGGCCTGTTAAACAACATAGAAACAAGCTTTAAAAAATGCAGTGATGTTTGGTCAAGGTTAGGCTCTTCAAGTCTATGGAGAGAGAGAGAAGAAAAAAAAAGAAAAACTATTCAATACTTTTCACTAAATTCTTCACACGAATGAAACCACAGTAGTATAATATTAATGTGCATTACCCAACTGTGTGTTATAGTTTAAAGAACAAGACAGTATGTACTAAGAAGCATCATCACAGCAGTAATGTAGACAAGTAAAAATGAAAAACTGCATGTTAAAAAGAAATTTATTAAAGAAATACAGTGACATAGAATACAGATACATAATGTATACACTGACAAAAAGGCAAGGAGACAAAGAAAGGTACTAAAATCATTGATTCAGAATCAAAAGCTTGTAAGACATAGCTTCCTTAGTTAAGTGTATTTCCAAACAATTTTACATGTATTGTAAATACAGTGTAAAATTTCTAAATCAGTAAGGAAAAATTCTCTTAAAAACTGTGTTAAATGAAATAGCACACTGTAGTAAAATATTTACACTGCATACTTCTTTGTCTGTACATTACAGATTTTAAACTAAAGCTTCTTTTTTGTCTGAAATAAGTCTTTAACTATGAATTTTTGTCTTTTTTTTTATTAACAGAGCTCATCAGCTAACATTCTTTAGCAGTCAACCGTAAAAAAAAAAGTGCTTACAGTAAGTAAGATTGTGATTACAGGATAACAGTAGTCTACACAATCACCTTAAGTGTAATGACTGATTAGCTACTAATCTTTTTTATTAATTACTAATTACTAGCCAATTTTAGTCCAAAGTTCTGGTTACTAATCTACTGCTTTCTTCATGGAAGTCCTGAAAAACTATTTCTGTGATCAGTCTTCTTGAGAGAGGCTAATGTGCTATCCTCTCATTACTTGATTGAAACCCTAGATAGGTAAAAATCACACCAGCTTCTCTAACAAGAAGACCAAGGTTCAAATCCCAACCACCACAGAAATAGTACTTTTCAGAACTTCTTTCAACTATAACAATGATAACAAAATAATTAAAATCATTACATACTGTAATTTTATGTACTATCAAGCACATGGTCACATAGTCAATTTGTTCAATTGGTATGATAGCTTATGCATTATATCAGTACTGCTAATGGTAAAATACAAGCATTATGCAAGGTCAATTTCAATATTACTTGTCCAGACTCAACACTCATAAGCTAAAATACTAATATTACTGATCTGGAAGCAAACTATTTCATAAGTTGTCACAAACTTATATGATACCAATTCAACTAAATAACTGTGATGACTTATCTTTCACTCATTTACTCTATGCATCTTTTAGATATTGTAGTTATGCCAAGTATCTTAAAAATTCATCAAATAACTGCATTAACATGGAGTTGATCCCAACAAAGAGTTTGTTTCAATGCAAAGCTACACAATAGGCTATCTTCACTCTATTCACCACAGGAAATCAAACCTTGGATTTTAGCATTGCGATTCTGTAAACTTGCTGCTGACCCACTGAGAGATCCCAACAAAAAAGACACTTAAGCCAGAGTTTCTATCACTACAATACATTTGATACACATTAAATAAATGTTTCACAGATATTATATAACATTAATTCTGAGATTCATAAAACAAATTTGAATCCATAAAACAATAATCAAAATAGTAATATTGATTAGAGTGCAGTATCAAGCTTTATGGGTTTGTATTTATAACAAACAATTGAAAATAAGCTTTGATATGAAAAGCTATTCAAAATGTGCCTGATATTTGTTTCTATGTTTTTCATCATTACCAAAATACAAAACTATAATGTGTGCACGATAACGAGTAACACTGTGGTGAAAAATAACAGGTAAACAAGAAACATTTTTACAGTGCAAATAACTTGAATTATCAATATCACAGATATGAATGTAGAATAGCTTGCCTTATGATTATTTTACAGTAACATAAGAAGTTTATGATTCCAACTTTGAAGTGTCAGGCCAAATTTTTAACTAATGTGAGCAAGCTTCCCAAATTAGAAGCTGAGTATTCCCTATAAACTTATGTGTCTCCTGTCAGTAAACTGATGTCCCTTTCCTTCCTCACATAGGTACTTAGTGTACAATTTAGAAAAAAAACATTCTGAAAGCATGAGCTCTTCTACTGGCAGCATGCCAGAATAATAAACCAAACAATCTTTAAGATAGCAAAAAAAAAAGTAGAGAGAGATAGAGAGAAAACCTAATAAAAACACCAGACTCAGTCCAAAAATATAGTAACTTTAATTTTTAATACCACTTATGTATAATTTTAAACTCATCCAATTTTTTACAGAAATTAAATTTAAACATAAAAAATGTTGAGAGTAATGTAAAAAAGTGTGCAAAACACACATGATAAAACATTTATTAATGTTAGATAAATAACTCCCTTACACCATAATTCCTTTTATATGGGAAGCATTAATTTTTCAAAATAATTATTTATAATAATTAACTCTTGTAATACAATTTATGCAACAAAAGGAGGTTGGAACTATTATAAACACTTATTAACAAAATTATGTAGAAAAGACACAGTGTGTTATTTTTTCACCTGGAATTGGCCACAGAACATAATAGCATATATATGCATCATATAATCCTCAAGCCTTGTGGTTAGCATGACAGACTTCTCTAACAGTACTTGCCAAGAAAAACATTTTTCCACACCTCAAAAAACCATTTTGAGAAAGATAAACACAAGGAATGGGGATAGAATTACATGAGAAACATTTTCACCTGACTGAAGTCACATATGTATCAATTATCAAAACTGAGTGATTATATAAAGATAAATGTGACAAGTTAAAGAGAATAAAAAGGAGATCTAAAAATAACAGATTTATTAATAAGAACCTTTTAAGAGATAGCTCTTCACAGAGCTCTGAAATGGGATATGTGTATATGTGTGTGTGTGTGTGTGC